CAGAGGTTTGCTGATAAAAAAAGAGCCTGAGTCACGTTCTCTGCTGTCTTTCAGACAACAGACCAAAACTTTTAGAGGCTTGGAGCAATTTAGGCCCATATGTTGGGGTAGTTTAAAATAATCAAGCCTGTTTTATATCTCATCCCTTTTAACCTAAGACAGGAAAACGATTGAAATATCAGGGTGTTTATTTCGAACAAGGAGCAATAGCAGGGCAGTCAGGCTTGCACATCCCGTTGAAATGTCAGCTGCAGTTCCTTTAGTTACCTTCTCCACACCCTTATTTTGGGTTTGCATTTGCCTTCCATGTGTATGTCTTGCTTTCTGGCGTCTTTAAAAAATAAAAATAAAAAATAAAAATCACCAGTCATTAGAATTTAAACTGGAAAACATTCTGGGAATTCAAGGGAGTTTCCGCTGCTTGTCAGGTTCTGATGTCATCGCCCAGTGGCCAAGCCCTTGTTGATACATAAAATCAGAATGATTTCAACCTTTATCCAAACGGAAAATAAAACTCTTGAAGCTCTTCTGTCCCCTGGGCCAACATTTTTTAAGAACTAGAGAAAACAGAGCTTCTGGATACAAATCAGCATGAGCACGCGCATTCTCCATCAGTACTTCCATTGACTTGGTTACTTGCTGAATAAATAAAATAAACACCATCTAACAGTCTCATTTAATACAAGTTAGAGAAATGGACCTGTGGTGCCTCTCTGTGATCGGACTCTTCTGATGCTTACAATGACTTTTTTCTGTGTGCACGTGTTCCAGGTTTTGGTGCTGAGGAATCACGGCGTGGTTGCTCTCGGGGAGACCATCGAAGAGGCCTTTCACTACATCTACAACGCTCAGTATGCCTGTGAAATCCAGGTACACATTGCAGAGCCAAGTGCTGCTGGTACCCAGTACATTCCTGCCCGACACACACACACGCTCTCTCTCTTCGGCTTCCAAACACACGCATTAGTCCAGGAGGGCGGTAGCTTTCCTGCTAAATCTAATCTCCACAGCTGCTTTCACATTTCTCCCTCTCTATTTTAAGAACACTCTAACTCATAATCTCCCCCCATGTGGAAAATGTTGGCCAAACACAGCTTTATAATAAGGCTATTAGGAGTCTGATGAAGGGAGTAACAATCTGATGTGTTATTGTTGACGCCGGTCCAAAGCAGCATTAAGAGAAGGGTGGTGTTCTCCGTGTTTTGTTTTTAATTAGTAAAGCTGAACAGAAGGTGATACATAAGATTTCAAGGGGTAAGAATTGGGCAGAATGAATGAATGTTTATTGACTGCATGTTCATTTTGAGGTTATATTAAGTTTATATTCATATTTCATGTAATGTGTCGGTCTGTGTAATCTTTTCCGATAAGATGGCGATAAGCCCGGAGAGCGGTGGCGCGTTTGTCAGGGATTGTGGATTAGCTCAACTTAGCTGCAGCAGCATTTGAATTGGAACATAAAAAATAATATTTTCTTAAATCTCAGTGGTCATTCAGACTCTTCTCACTGCCGTGTATTTATAAGGGTTTGGATCTGTTTGTTGTGCACCTGTTAACATATTGCCAGACGTCCTCTTTAAGTGACCTTTGGTGTCCAGCAGTGGATTCTTTGGGTCCTGTGGGCTGCAGGATGGTGGATCTTTTACTGGTGTGTGTTGTAGTGCACTGCTGGTGGAGGTTATTAGTGAGTGTCATTGACTTTGGGGTGTGTGCTTGGTTTGCAACATCGATTAGGTGGGTGCTGCATGTCAAAATAACATCCACGTGAATGGCAGTACCCAAGGTTTCTTGCCAGAATATCAAACTGTAACAAGCTGATAAACACTGCCCACCTTCCTCAGTGGTGGTTTGGTTGGTGCTGCTGACTGCTGTGCAGCCATTTCCCTTTTGAAGGGGCAGTTGTAGCAATAAGTGAAAATACAGCTGTGTTGGATTTCTGTTGTCTTGCTTTTTGTTCTTGCGTGTCTTCCTGTTCATTGGTAAATATGGTGGATGTTAGAGATGAACAGCTATGCCCCCCCCACCCCCCGCTCCACTGTAACAGCAAACCAAATCTCCTGATTGACTCTCCCTGGTCAAGCAAAAGAAAACATTAATCCATCCTGCAAAGCCCAGCCCAGCTTAATTTCTCGAAATAAATCCCCTCGGGCATGTTTGCATGTCATCTACTGTAAATTCAATGCCGTGGTAGCCGGAGGGGTCTCTCATTTTGGTTTTGCTAAATGACACTTTTAGTCTGCAGGGGAAATGGTCAGGAAATTTGTTCCTGCTTATGCTCCTTTTAGATAGATGATCTAATGCCACACATGTATTATGAGAACGGGGGGGGGTGTTTATGTTTGTGTTGCGTAAGCCGCCAGCCATCAGTAGAAGCTCACGTCTGTCTCCCTCTGTCCTCAGGTTAATGCCATTTCTTGTGCTGGAGGTGTGGACAACCTTATAGTGCTGGACCAGGAGAAGTACAAATCACGAGTGTTCACCGTCGCCTCGGCGGCTGCTATCAACATGGCTGGGCAATACAAGTGGAAAATCGGTGAGCTGGAGTTTGAGTCTCTGATGAGGATGCTGGATAATCTGGTAAGTGTATAAAGAAAAAGCTAAACATCAAAAGAGAAAGTTTTGTCAGTTTACCACACAGACACAAAAAAGACCTAAATAAACACTTGCATAGTTATAAAAAAGATATATATGACACACAAAAAATGCATAATAATCATCAAATAAATAATTTTAATCTTTACTTGTTGTGGCTTTGTGAAATCAGGAGTGTAATCATTTGTTTTAGCAAAGTAACCCATCTTGGTTTCACTTAACATGAGTAAGATCCCTGCTTCAAAACCAGGAGTAGACCCTGGTATCCAAGGGTATCCAGTATGAAAGCACTCAGTTATTGATTTATAAAACGATAATAACCGGCCTATATGGATTTCATAAAAGTGTTACATCTGGTGTTTAACCACTGTGGCACACATTTGGTCCGAGGTTCATTTTAGTTCACCTCTCTGTTTGTTTCAGTCTTATTTCTGTTGCACTAATGATGGAGAACTATTCAGCTACTAGCAGTGGTGGCTAGTGTGGGTGAACAAAACTGGAAAAGGGCGCCACCTACAGTAAACTAAACTTTTAACGTGCAATGCAAAGAAGCAGTGCTGATTCCAAAGCCCATCTTTGGAAAGAACAGCAAATGAAACTTAAAGGAAATGGAGGAGCGTTTTGTTAGTACAGTGCTAACTTTAAAAATCTGGAGTGGTTCAGTCCCTGGAGATTTGCTGAATGTTCTTCCTTGTCTCAGATTCTCATGCCTTTTGTCCTCCTTGCATCTCTATCCGTGTATGCTTCGCTCGCCTGCTTCACCCGACACTTTTCACCTTTCTCCATGCTTCCCTCCCACCTTTCCCTCCTCTTTTCCCCCTCTGCTTTCTCAATGAATCACTGCCTCCCAGCCTGTTGCAACTTTGAATAGTTCATCTTTGTCTCCCTTCCTTTCCTACTCTCCCCCTTTACACACTTCATAAACGGCATTTGTGTCAGATAAATTCTTGGATTCAGGACAGGACGCACATTTGTAACAGAGAGGGGGAAAGTGGGAGAAAAATCGAGTAGTTATACTGTGTCTCGGCAAGCTGCCAGCTGTGAATATTTAGAAATGTCTGAATATAAAGCAGAATTTTGCAGGAGGAGATCACGCCAGCTCAGTTAAGTTGAAATGTTGGTGTCGACTGAGATGTGGGGGCTGAGATTAAAAGGAAAGGGGGAAAGACAAAAGAACGGAACCTCGCTGTCAAGCCTGGTGTGGAAAACTGTCTGAAAACCAGCTGGACTAAAAGAGTGCACTGAGGGACGGGCGATGGGAATGTGAGAGAAAAAGATCGTTGGGAATAAAGTGGAGAGAAAGAGGAAAGGAAGGGGATGGAGGGAAAAGGGTGAGAGAAAAAGGGGGTCAGACAGGAAGTGACTATCTAACACTGTCCTCTGTGTTGCCAGAAACCCTGCAGTCAAAGCACAGTCTTTCTTTTCCATGTGACTAACTATGAAACTGGCAGGCCAACCAGCATTACAGGAATCAATGCTCATTTTTGTCGTTCATGTACTAAAAACGAAACCAATTAAATGTTTATTCATTTATAATGTCAGCTGTGAAATCAGTGTCATCATACAAAACTTATTCTGGAGCAGTAGTCATGGATGATGTGGGGAGACTACTGTGACATATGACAAGGCCTATGTAAATGTATGGATCGCCACAAACCAGATAAAAGAAAGCAAACCCTACATGTGATCCTGTGCGATGCCTTTTAGGGCTACAGGACAGGCTATGCATACCGGCACCCCATCATCCGGGAGAAGCCGAGGCACAAGAGCGACGTCGAGATCCCCGCCACGGTTACAGCGTTCATGTTCGAAGAGGACGCGGATAGTGGTGCAACACGGCTGCCCTTCAAGTTTCTCCAGCAGCGGCAGCAGAGGGAGAAGACACGCTGGCTCAATTCACCCAACAGCTACACCAAGGTCAGCGTAGAAGGTGGAGAGGAGCGCTACAACAGCCGGACAACCACGGTGAGCAGTGTGGCTGGGAAAGTTAGCGTGTACATACCCACAGTTACTGTGGACTGCTGTGTTTTGGCTGGACTTGCATCCCAGTGCTAAGAACAAATAGTACTAGATCACCATCTAGTGGCTAAATTGTGAACTACAGGGGTTCAGCTGCATCATCATTATTATTATTTTTAATATTATTATTATATTGTTTGAAACAACGTTTTCACCGGTCTTCTGTTAACAGTGGATGAAGGCAGATGACCCAGGAACCCCAATTCGTATCGAGGATCCCAATCAGTTTGTCCCTCTCAACACAGATCCCACTGAAGTGCTGGCGAAGAGGAACAAAGTAAGAAAAACTACCATTTTTAGCAGACGCTTGATGCTATCAAGGTGACAAAAATCTAAAGATGGAGTGACAGAAATTGTAGGATACACTTTACTATTTTGTGCTGGTTTCTGTTTAAAAATGTGAGGATATTAACACTTGACACATAATTAAGGATTAAATAAATCTCTATCATAGCCTCATATGTTTAAGGAGGGCATAACAGCCACGATGCTACTTTGAAGTATCAGGTTTTTTTGTTTTACTATTCTGAAAGCCAAATATGAGCACATCTACACCAGGGGTAGCTAACTAGAGCCATGCTAAATAGTAATAGTATTAATTTTACTATAAAGGTAATAATGTTTCAATAAAGATTATCTAGAAATCACCAAACAAGAAAGCAGAAAACAGTCCAAATCAATCATTCAGATGAACAGAGGTGAGGATTTACAGCAGCCAGTCCCCTAAATTTAACATTTATAGTATCAAAGTAGATTAGTTATAAAAAATATTTTAAAGAGTCGTCTACTGTACAGTTGTTGTCAAGAGTGTCTCTTTCTACCATACTTTTATGTGTATAGTCTGGTCCCCATCTAATCATACTACTGGATAATTGGTAGTTTCAGTGCTTGAGAAGACGGCTACATTTGAACTGTCACTGCACTGGTTTTACTAAGAGCATCTTACAAAATCAGTACAAATCTAGGCACTGAAACATCTGACTGCATCAGGCATGTTATCCTGATTCCTGACAGAATGTTTGTGTTCACTTGTTTGGGTTATTAGAGTATGTCACCGTGTGTTTCGTCCCGTTACAGATCAGAGAGCAGAACCGGCTTGATTTGATGTCATCAGGGCCGCGGTCTCAGCACCTTGCAGGCATCCCTGTCGACGAACCGCGAAAGGTGAGAATTTCCTCTTTCTCGCCTCTAAACCTCGTGTTCTGTGGAAACCGTCGTTTTTAGAGAGCAGATCTTCAAAGAAGAAAGAATCTGATGGTAAACTGTAGATGTGTAACATCTAATATCTGTTTTAACAAGACAGGTTTTCACAAAAAATGCATAAAGTTTAAGCAGTTAGATGCTGTGACTTAACAATAAATACTTTTAATTCCTCTTAAAGGGCACACCGGGGTACATGACAAACAGTTCTTGCAGGATGTTCTTCAATTAACAGAAAGTCCTTACAGATATTTGAAGAAAATCCAGAATAGCTGGTGTTGATAATGATATAAAAACAGTTGAGGTTTGCAGAACATCTTTATCTAACTTTAAGGAGAAACTTAAAGGTGTTCTCAGTTGTTTTGGCTGATTAGAGATTTGCTTTTTTGTGATATGATAGAGCTTTTCTGCATATTACCGGAGTTTCCTAATCTTAATGACTTAGTGAGAACATTAGAGGAGGAGGACGACTCTCCAAAACTATTAAAAAAAAAAAAAAAAACTTTATCCAAAATTGTTCAGACTGCCAGTTTAAGCCACTTGATAATGACATCTCTTGAACACTAGGGGGAGACAAGTAAACACATTTATAACGGATGAACTGAAGCTCTTGACAGTTACACTTTACTAGCAAGGATAGAATTGAATGTATAAATTAATGGAACAAGTGAAGTAAAAATATCTCAACTAGAAGTTGTGGTGCTGATGGTTTCGTGGTTTAATGTTTTGTCTTGAAGGATCTGGTGCAGATAAACGTTCTGGTAAATACCAACGTACGTTTTCCTGTCTGTGGTTGTTTTTAGTTTTCTACATTTTTTTTTTTTTTTGGTTCATTTTATGATTTTTAACACTTCATCACTCGTTCTGATCAAAAACCACTGCATGTGTTGTAGTAGAGTTTTGCTTTAAAATTGACAACTGTTTTCAATGTATTGTCTGCTTTAAACAAAACTGCACTTATTCGTGAGAGTTGTTGAAGTGTGATGATTTGTTGGAGCATGAGTCTCTTTCTGACATTTTTAGGCAGAAATCTTAGCAGAGATTTAAGCTCGAGTGCGTTGTGTGTGTGTGTGCACGAGTGTGAGTTTTTGTGTTATTTTTCTCCGATGGTGTCTTATAAACACATCTTGCGTGGAGTTGATTAGATGTGGACTCTGTGATGTGGTTTTATCTTTACAAGAGCTGCCTTAGTCATCCTCTAATGAATGATTGTCATCCTCAGACACAGTGGGTGTTTGTGCCGTTTCTAAAAAAAATTATTTTTCTTTTAAGTCGGTGAGTGCAGTCGTGACTAAAGAGACGGCGTTGTTTTCTCTCTGTGTGTGTGCGTGCATGGTTTTTTTTTTTGGTATGTGTACCTTTGGTGTGCGCTTGTGGGTTAGTACATGGTTTGTTTTTTAAATTTCACAGTGTGTGCTAGTGCCGCCTGATTATTTCTTTCTGTGTACGTGTTTCCCATCCTCACCCCTCTGCCTGTCTCCTCCCCAGCCATACGTGCCCACAGAGGAAGAGCAGATGGCTCCCCTGCCTCCCAACCCTTTCAGTGAGTTGTCAGTGAAGGAGCTGGAAGAGTATCGCAAGAACGTGGAGAGAAGGCAACTGGGCCTCAGCGGTACGGCACATACGCTCACGAATACACTTCTGTTAACAACCATCAAAGCTCACGCACACATGGCGAGATGAACTCGAACCCAGAGTTTTCTTTCCTGCTGCCAGCTGCAGACGACCTTACCAATCAGTGAAGGTTCATTAAACAACAAAATATTGAGCCGGGGCTTGAAACAAATTGCATCAATAATCAATATGCAAGCTACAATTTGAGCGCACACATCGGGAGATTAGTTTGAGCCAGCAAGAGGAATGGTCATCTGCTTAGCTGGGTGCTGGCATCAGTTTACTCCGGTGCAGGAAACTGGTCCTTTTCTTTTAATTTATCACTTATATCATGGTTTTGATACATTTATCTAAAGTAAATCTTCTTTTTTTTTTAAAAAAAATGCTGTTATATTAACCATCACAATCATCTTTAATAACCCTGAAGGAAAAACTAAGACCTCAAGAAATCTTGAATATGAATTTATCCGGTTCCGCTTGTATCTCTTGAGAGCTGAGTGAAATCGGTTTGTGTTGCCCCTGGATTAAAAGCTCATCAGCATCTGAAACTACTGTTGGTGTTTGAGTCATTAGAGGGGTTTTTGCACGTTTTAAAAGACTTTAAACTGCGGAAAAAATAAGACACTAAGAGCCAGATATTCACAAGTCCTTAAAATAAACAGCTGGAGCAGATTTCAACTTGAGCTTAAAACTAATCAGGATTTCTTAAAATTGGTTCTGCAGTTACAAAGCCGTCCCCTTGGAGACTGATTAGTAAACAGCTCAAATTTTCTTTGTGCCCTCTCAGCAGTCTGGTGGTAACAAAAGATTTAAATGATCTCGGTCAACGCGTGCACAGACGCACATCTATATACCTATACGTCTATATCTATATGCAAGGTCTATGGCTGCTTTAAACTGTGTTAACCTTGTCAACACACACACACACACACACACACACGCACACACAAGTCAATGCTAATCATATTAGCCTTCTGTCCTATTATCTTTCAGAGAGGCAGAGGAAAAATCAATAGCGAATCGATATCTGGGGGGCCTTCTGTCACACTGGAGCACAGTGAATGTGTATTTGTGTGTTGTGTATATTTGGGTAAGGCCATGTGTATGGATGGCTGCAAATGTTCTTCTGTGCATATGAAACATGGTGCGACTGTATGTGTGTAAGGGGCCAGTGTGACTTAGATGGCAGACCGAACAGACAGCAGGTCTTCACACCCTCCACATGATCAGAGCCCGTTGCTATGACACTTTTGCCCCCATAGCCCCATGAATCCCCGGTGACCAATCTGGAGACAAGCTGGAGACCGTCTGGAAAGGCCTGATACATGCTCGGCCCGGGGACACACACACACACGTTTATAAGCTTAGCCTGCGATTAGTTGTGACATGCAGATTGTATATATTGATAATTTTTTTAAAAAACAGATTGATTATAATGCGCATTATATAAGAGAACTGATCAAATTGAGTTATATGCGACATAGATATGTATGAACATATGTACAGATGCATATTATGTGCTATATGTTTCACAGGAGGTGACAAAGCTCATGCAAATGACTACACACACTGAGATCATCTCATCTGAGGCTCGCACGCATTTTTATCTGTGTATATACAGAACACCGAGTACTATCACTGCACAGATCAGGCTGTTATGCAAACACGTCCTATACGCTGTGCTTGTAGGAGTTGTGAATGATTGTGACGACTGCCAGCTCGATGTGTAAGCCCGAACGTACTAATGAATGTGTTAAAGTGATCTGGGAACGTCTTTCATTCAGACTAATTGGTGTTTAAAATGAAATTAAGCTAACGTAGCTAAGCTGCGTGGCAACACTATGTGCTCCTTATGGTTGGATAGAATTGTTTAAGAATCTATAGTTCAAAGGGTGCTTGTTTCTTTATCCATTTTACATAAGAATATAAACTTTTCTCATAATCTCCTTATTCTATATAAGAGTGACTGAGATTTCTTTTCTTTCTTGCCCTAAACTTCATTTTTCTGTATTTAAATGTCTCACAATACAAATACTTCAGTCTATGTTAATTATACATCTCATAAAGAAATTTTAAACTTTGGTGGTCTAGCCAGCAGTGGACCACAAGTCGTTGTCCGTGTTAAGGTTTAGCAAAATGTTACAGTGTGTGCTCAGCCACCCACGCCCGGGGGCGGGGTGGATTGATGGCACTCTGATAGCTGGGTGATCAGCAGACAAGGATTTTGTAAATTTTGTTGGAAAACAGCTGTGCATGGCCTGATTCTAACATGTGTGTGTTACCACTAATCTGTCAACCTCCCCACCCCCTCACTCCCTCCGGACCCTTCATCCCAATTCCCTCCAACCTCTCATCCCACTCACCCCTGCTGTCTTCCCTCTACTTCCACCCCCTACACCCTGCCACAATCCTCTCATCCAACCCTTACACCCCCCCCC